ACGCAAGGGAAGAGAGCCAGATGTGACCCAGACCAGATACCTGGGGGAGGTGTTTGCTGATTTTAAAGCAAAGGGGACTGGGGGCAGGGGGGAAAGAGCAGGGAGGGAGAAGATAGAAGAGGTGGATGAAGGGAAGGTTTTTGTTATCGTCAGATTTCTAGAAAAGTTGTTCTAGAAAGCTAGTCCAGCGTGCCCCCATGCAGCCCACACTCGTTCTCAGCGTTCATACCCTAAGTTGCATGATGCATTTGCTATACTGGACACTAAGGAACTAACACCGATACGGCATGCTTGCTACGATGGAGGGACATCACAAGAGAGCAAGACTCTCGATGAGATGGGCTGACACTGTGGCCACAACAACGGGTCAGGCACAGGAGCAGTAGTGAGGATGGCAGGATCAGGCAGTGTTGTCTTCTAGCGTGCACGAGATCCCTACAGGTTGGACCTGACTCAACGCCACCTGACAACAGCACTGTTGTCTATACGAGTCATTCTAGTGTATGGATGTACCATGGCTCACTTATCCAGTCACTTACTGAGGGACGATCTTGCTACTTCCAGCTTTGGGCAATGGGGAAGAGAGCTACTATCAACATTTGTACGTGGGGTTTTGTGGACACAGGTTTTCAATCAATTGGGCAAACAAACACCTAGGTGTGTGATTGCTGCACCAGATAGCAGGCAAGGTTATGTTTAGCTCGGAAAGAAACTGCTTCCAAACTGGCCCGACTGCTTTGCAGCCCCACTGACCTACGGTGATGGTTCCTGCTTCCCTGCACCCCAGCCAGCAATTGGGATCCTCAGCCTTTTGATGTCAGCCCTGCTGATGGGTGTGCAGGGGTCGTTGATTGTTTTCCCTGATGACAAATGATGTCTCCTTACCCACAGTTGTCTTCTTCATTGGTGAGGTATCTCTTCAGACCTTTTGTCCATTTTTTAAAAAGCCGTGTGGTTTGTTTTCGGTTACATTTTCAGATTTGTTTGGACCGGGGACTTTCGCAAACTTTATGGGGAAATAGGTTTAAAAGACAGTGGGAGGAGAGCTCCTTTACCAGATATGTGCCCAGATCCTTCCTCCTGGACCATGCCTTGCCTTCTTGCGCTCTCTGTAAGCGCATTTCCCATAGAGCAGACGTTTGTACTTGCAATAAAGTCCAGGGTGTCTGTTTTCTCTTTTGTGGACCACGGCTTGCCGTTGTACTAGAAAAAACTTCTCTTTCAACCCAGGCCAAGGTCATGTAGGTTGTCTGTCGTTTCTTCTAAATGTTATAGAGTTTGGCAATTTACAGTAAAAGCTGCATTTGGCACTTAGACTTTGGGTTAAATTTTTGTGGGCAGTATAAGGTCTCTGTCGTGTGTGTGTGTGTGTGTGTGTGTGTGTGTGTGTGTGTGTGTACGTGCGCAGGCCTTAGATAGACCCTGTGCCCAGGTGGGCATCAGCCCGGGGGACTTGGGGGAAATCCTGGGATCAGACGTGTTCCTCAGGGTGCCCCACCTTGCTCTCTGTGGTAGATACATAATCTGGCGTTAACTTGAGACTATTAAGAGTGAAGGGGTGGAGTTTAGCCTGTCACTCAGGTCGCTGCTTAATGACCTCATTTGGAGGTGCTAAGGAGATAAAGAGCTCACTGGAGGCCAGACCCACTCTCTCTGCCTTATCTTCCTGCTGACAAGACACATGGAACCAAGCTGATGGAGCCAGAATCCTGGAGCTGGAGGAGCCATGTGAAGACCCATGCCAGCGTGGAGATACTTCCACCACCACTGGATCCACAAGACTTTCTACCCACTGGTCCATGATCTTCCCGAATTTATCATTATTACACGTGCTGCACAAGTTTGAAGAGCAATTTATAGACTGGTATGGGACATATGGGCTAATATCAAACTTATGGACTTGATCTGGACTGGGCTGGGATGTTTTCTCAATATACAGTTACTCTTTGGTGCAACACTCTCTCTTACACACACATGTGCGTCTCCCTGGATTTGTTTCTCTAGTCAACCCGGACTAACACACTCTCCCACAGGCATGGTCAAAGCCCCAGCCTTCAGCAGTGCTCCCTTGTGTCTCTGTGGACAGTTCTGCTGGAGGGACCACAGACCCCTCAGCACAAGGCCTTTTCCAGCCACGGTGGTGAGTAGGGGAGGCAAGGGCATTGGAGTCAAGTGAACTTGGAAGTCACACTCAGTTTTGCCTTTAGCAGCTATGTGATCCTGGGCAACTGACATAATCTTTCTGGTCCCAGGTCTCCCACTTCGCAGTCTCTCAGGGCAGCTGTGGGGTAATGAGGCCTAACACAGGGGAGCCAGACGACCCCATACTGGACGGTAAAATATGCCCATTTCCTTCCTCATGAGAACATTGCTGACTGAACAGTTCACTCATTCACCCATTGTGCAAAAACTCCCATGCCCGGTTTATGGGCTCTGTCTTCTGAGCCATTAGACTACAAGGAGGCCAATAGAGCCATGTTTCTCTCTTGGCCTCAACACCCAAACTGAGGCCAACTTCTGCATGAGATCTTGCAGCTTCAGAAAGGGGTCCTACAGCCAACCAACTTGAAGACCCAGGAATCCCACTACCTCCCCGCAAACCCCTGGAGGGGAGGAGGACTTGGCTACTTTCTGTGTGGACCCTGAATGTTGATGTCTTGGTTTTAATATAATTGCACAGGGCATTCCCTGCCCTGTAGTCAAACAGCAGTTTGAAATCGAAGAGCAGGTCATGCCATGATGTCCCTCCCCGAGGTCCCTCCATGGCTCCCATTGCAGCTCAGCTTCCCAGTGACCCCAAGTGTGTTAGCTGGCCCAACAGGGTCTTCCATGGTTGATACTTGAGAACTAATTGGCAGTCTTTCTCCTGAGGCATCTTGGGGTGGACTGTAACTCCAACTCTCTTGTTAGCAGTCCAACAAGACCACTAACCACTGCACCACCAACCATTTACAACTGCAACGGGACTCCCTGTCAGTCCCACTACCGTGGAGTTGATGCTACCCAAGGGGGACCCCACGGGTCACAGGGCAGACCTACTGCAGAGGGTTATCTGGGCTGCAATCTTTATGGAAGCAAGTCACCAGGCTTTTCCTTCGCTTCTCAGCTCTCCTGGGGGTGAATTTGAACCATCAATTTTCAGATAGGAGCTGAGAGCCAACCATTAGCACCTCCCAGAAAACAAACCCGCCGCCATCGAGTGGATTCTGGCTTATCATAACCCTTTGGGCAGGGAAGAACTGCCCCTGTGGGTTTCTGGGACTCAACTCTACAGGAGTAGAAAACCTCAACTTATGGGGCGGCTGGTGGTTTCAAACGACTGACATAAAATGCAAAGCCACCATGCTGGGAATGAGAGTCTATAGGTAGGGAGGCTGGTGAGGCCCCTCGGTGTGACCCATCCCAGTCTCTCTCCTCATTCTTCAGACATCTCAGCCACCCTTGCCTTCGTTCTGCCTCTCAACTCCATGTGAGCTCATCTGCACCTCAGGGCCTTTGCTCTCGCTGCTCCCTCTGCCTGGAATAGTCTCCCTGCCTAGCGGGCTAGTGGGCTAAGCAATGAGCTGCTATCCTGTATTACTCAGGGTACTTTAGAGAAACAAATCCACAGAAACTCATGTATAAGAGAGAGTTTTATGTAAAGATTAAGTGCACATCAAGAAAACATCCCAACCCAGTGCTGCCAAAGCCCACAAGTCCAACATTAACCCATATGTCCAACACCAGTCCACAAAGTCTCCTCCATCTCACAAAACAGAGGCCATAATGCCGACTGCAGGAGGAAAGCCAAGTCAGTGAACATGTAAGCATCTCAGTGCTGGCAGGGGTCTCCACACAGATGTTCCAGCACCCAGGGCTGCATCAGGGCAAGTCCATGTGGCTTCTCCTTGGGGATGTCTTGCATAAGGTGACCAGACTTCTTGCTTTTGGCGGGACAGTACCGATTTTTAACAATTTTTCCTGCGTCCCACGGCATTTTAAAAATGTCCCGATTTTTTGAAAGAATGCATGACAAGCTAGGGTTTTTGGCTGCCATGTGGCTATTTCACCAGGATATGAGTTTTATCAATGGTGTCCTGCTTTACCAATGTTAAAATCTGGTCACCTTAGTCTTGCAGGAAGTCAGCCTTGCAAGCTGAAGCAGGCACCTGCACCCTGGTGCAACCATCAGAAAGCAAGAGACCCAAGAACTCGAAAGGCAAGGCTCACCAAACCATTTATCCCTCTGCCCTTCAATTAATCCCACCTGTGTTTATCGGCCAGGTTGGTACAATAAACTAACTCATACTAACAAGGTCAGTGGTTTGAATCCCACAGCTGCTCTGAGGGAGAAGGATGAGGCTGTCTGCTCCCATGAAAAATTGCAGCCCTAGAAACGCACAGGAGGTGGTTCTGCCCTGCCCTCTAGGGCTGCTGTGAATTGGACTCAACTTGATGGGCATGGGAGTGGGAGGTTGACCTCAGCTGGGTCCCATCTGCTTTCTTGCTTGCAGACAGCCTACCCTGACTGCCCTCCCCGCGGTCCAGGCCACAGAAGACAATCTGAAATCACCTCATCCTAACATGGTTTACTTGCTTTTGTGCCTCTTTCCTCCTTCAGGAGGATTGGACGCATGGGCCGTGACTACAAAACCCCAAGTGTCCCAATCTGCCTGGCTTACAGGGGGTGGTTCCCAGGACTCTGCTGTAAACGCACGCCTGCTCACTCCCACCAGGGCACAGGTGAAGCGCTCACACCCTTCGAAAGCAACCTGGGCCCCTGGATCATGGACTTTCCCGCCCACACTTGGTGAACCAGTGACCCAGACACTCACATATGGCAGGGGGCCCGAGGACAAGCTTCTGAGAGCAGGCTCAGGGAGACCAGGCTCAGGGAGCCCCAGGCAGCAGCGCTCACCACGCGTGTCCTGCCCATGAACGAACGTACAGTCACGTAGCCCAGGCTACCTTGGATCAGGATCGGTGTTAAAGTAGCTGTCACCAAGGGAAAGGGATTGTACCTGGGAAAGATGTCTTGTCCTCCATGGCTCACGTCGCCCCTGCTTGTCGCCTCGCTGAGCCGCACAGCACTCCCCCGTGGTCCTAAGGCCGTGATAAAAACACGATCAGCTGCCTGCCACTCAGCTGGCGGTGTGTCAGCCGGGATGAGGGGGCCTTCCCCCGCCCCCACCAAGTGTACACACACACACACACACACACACACACACACACACACGGCCTTCCCCTGCCCCCCACCAAGTGTACACACACACCACACACACACACACACACACACACACACACACACACACACACACACACGAACATTTGTTCAGGAGGCTCCAGGAGAGAAATGGCCATAAAGATTTCATTTTTTTGGAGCCCATCCACGTCTCTGTATCATCATAAAAATTCAATAGGAAACTTCCATTAAAAAAATAAATAAATAAAAGAGAGGCATAACGAGGAAGAAACGGGGAGCGTACCAGCGAGGAGGTTGAAGATTAAAGAACAAGTGGCCCCGAGCAGGAGGTGAACTTTTATGAGCCACTGTAGAAAGGAAAACACACCCTATGGACAACAGGCTCCAGGAGAAGACAGCCCGGCCGCTGTCTGGCGTGGGTGCTGGTCTCAGAGGGCTGGAGGTGGGGGCTGGGGCAGGCTGGCAGGGCCTGGGGGGGGCTGGGTATGTGAGCATTGGTGCGAGCAGGCCGCAGCTCCCAGAGGTGGCCACAGCGGACACAGTCGGGAACTAGCGGGCCATCAAGTGTGAAGAGTGAGCAAGCCCTGCCCAGGGTGGATCCACGGGTGTCTGGGCCTCGGGGCCACTTCCCGTGGGGACCTGGGGCTGGGGTCTCGTCCCATCAATCGTAGGGAGATAGAAAGGACTTGTAATGAGTCTCCCCAGCAAGCACTCAGCTGGCACAGTCCCCTTCTTACCGGACTATCCTGAGGATTGAAAACACAATCGACATTCATCGCAGGCATTTTGGATGAAGACTGGCCAGCGTCCTCCCACCCCATGATGCACGTCTATCATCTTGTTTTAACTCCCCAAACCTGGGGAAACCTCATTGTAAAAGATCGCGCGAGACAAAGCCTGTAGTGAAGACTGGCTGTGGGGGGAGCTCAGTTCAAAAGTAGTGGCCTCGTTCCTGGGGGCAGAGCTGGGAGGCGAGGTAGCGACCCTGACCATCAGGGCCCCAGTAGCACAAGAGGACAGTCCTTTTCTAAGAAAAAAAAGGGAGTTGGGGGAAGGGTAGAGTTTTACAACAGAACAGAAGCAGCAAGATTGAATTGCCTGTCCTTGTAAAAACAAGTCTCTCTTCAGAATGTGTGGATACGTCTGGTTCATTGCCAAGTACCGTGGAGGTCCCTGGTAATGCGATTGGCTTGTCCTCACTGGGAGGGGGGTGGTTTGGGTCCACCCAGGGGCACCGCAGAGGAAAGGGCTGGTCATCTGCTGCTGTCCAGACGGCAGCCAAGGAAACCCAGTAGAGCGGTTCTACTCTGTCTCACACAGGTTGCCACCAGTTAGCATTGACTTGAAAGCAACTGGTTTATTCTGAAACTAAGATCACCTGCCCCGGATCCATCTGTGAGTGTGGAGGCCGAGCCGGCACACCTGCAAGTGGGAACAAGCATCGTTGTCGCTGCTTTATCTGCAGCAGCGCGGGCTAGAGCTGTGGGCCCCACAGGCTACCCTGCAAGTGCCACAGAGACCTGTACACATTTCAACGCTGGAAGGAAGCTCTTATGACTCTTTTGATGATATTATCTCCCTCGTGATGACGCAGTGATAACAGGAATCTCAGGAGTGGATGGCTTTCGCTGTATACCCTCCGTTTAGGCAATTAGAAATGAGTGCCAAGTTTAAGGGAAGGGCCTTTCCACGTCTGTGGCCCTGGGGCCCTTGGAGAGCTCCACGTGGCCTGGTATCTATCTTCCCCAGGGTCTAGGAGCTCCTTGGCTCAGGGACCCCAGGTCCAAAGGATGTGCTGCTCGGTCCTCTTTCTGGATGGTAGTCAGGTCTCTCCTTGGCTCATTTGTCTTTTGTAATAGAAAAAGTGGTTCAGGCCACGCCCTAGGAAAACAGCCCTATTATTGATCAGGGCAATGACCTGAGACGACCCCTAGGCCCCCTTAAAACTGACTGACTGATCACATCAGAGCCAACCCGCCGAGAATCATGGCCCAGCCAAAGACACATGTTTGGTGTGCAGGGCAGGGTGGAGCTCTGGTGGTGTACTGTGTACACATCGGGCTGCAGCCCACAGGGTCGGCGGTTGGAATCCACCAGCCTCTCTGTGATAGCAAGATGAGGCTTTCTACTTCTGGAGAGTGACCATCTCAGAAACTCAGGGGGGCAGTTCTACCCTGTCCTGTAAGCTCACCATGAGTGGGCATGGGTCTGAGGGCGGTGAGTGAGTTGGGATAACGGGATAACGGGAGGTCGGATGGGAATAATTCCACCCATGACTGCCAAGAGAGGAAGTGAGCATTGTGAGGCCAGGCAGGAACTACCTCTCTTTCTTTCTGGTTTTAAACAATTCTATTGGCACATAATTCACATACCCTACAATTCGATGGTTTAAAGATATGAAAAAGGCATTTTTGCAATCATCACTAGAATCCATTCTGGGACCTTTTCTCCTTTCCCGCACTCAGTTTGAGTAGCTCCTCATTTCTTTTCTACCTCCCCTGCCATCACCCAAACCAAACCCAACTCACTGCCACCCAGTCAATTCTGACTCATTGCGACCCTTTGAGACTAGGTAGGACAGCCCTTGCGGGTCAGAGACTGCCACTCTTTATGGGAGTAGAAAGCCCCATCTTTCTCTCACTGAGCAGCTGGGTGGTTTTGAACTGCTAACGTTCATAATGCCATAATCCCAAGAAACTGTGACTCTCCTGCTCTCCCCACAGATGTACCTACCCTGGACAGAAACTCAGAGAGTGCCCACAAAGAAGCCCAACCGCTGCAACCAAAGAAAACACGGGAAGACCTCGACCCAAAAGAAAGCAGAAACAATATCAGTCAGAACGAATCAGAGACGGGTCAACCGGGAAGGCAGGGTCGGGGAGAGGGAAGAATGAGGAGCTGATGTTTTGAGAATGATGAGGGCGACAAATGTACAAATGTGCTTGACACAATGAATGTGTGTATGGATTGTGATAAGAGCTGTGCGAGCCCCCAATAAAATGCTCTCAAAAAGGAGCAGAAGAAAACCCTGCAGACCAGGGGGCTACTGCCTTGTGCCTCAGGGACCGTGTGACCATGTGCCCTCAGTGCGTCACAGCAGGACTGTGCTCCGCAGGGTTTCCGGTTTGGAAGTGCGTTTCCAGGCCTTTCTTCCTAGGTGCCTCTGGGTAAAAAAATCTCTAACCTCTGAGGGTGACAAGCCCAACCACTAACCCTGGGCCTATTACTTATTTTAATTGATCGAGGGGCCTGCAAAGAATGATGAAACTGGTGCGCTTCAATAATGATGGTGCTGGAGAAGAATTCTGAGAGGACAAACGTGTCTGTCTTGGAAGAAGTATGACAGGAGTGCACCTTCAAGGCAAGGATGTTGACGCTTCATCTCCCCTACTTTGGACCTGTTGTCAGGAGAGACCGGACCCTGAAGGAGGACACCGTGCTGGATGAGGTAGCGGGCAGGTCCGTGACAGAGGAAGACCTTGCGGGAGATGGATGGGCCCAGGGGCTGCAGCACACGAGTTCAAGCATGAGAACCGTCGTGAGGATGGCGCAGGGCCTTCTGCTGTATTGTGTGACAGAGCTGACTGGGCAGCACCTGACAACAATGTCAAGGGTGAAGAAGACTCTTGTATGTTGTTCTCCTCCAGAGACAAGGAAAGGCTTGCAAAGAAGATGGGAACCCCCGGCAGAGCTGTGTGAAGGGTCTCGCCATGGAGGGCACTGAGTGAGTTCTGAGCGGCTCCTGCACAGCTGCCCTGGGCTTCTCCAGGCTCCCGCCATTCCACGACCTTGGGGGAGATGCCAGCCCTGCCACGCCTCACCTGTGCAGCACTACTCAGGCCACCCCGGGGCTCTGAGCCTCTGTGGGGACATCTCCATCAGGACAACAGTTGTCACCTTTTGTCACAAGCCTGCATGAGGTCACACTCGCACAGCTCCTGGCAGAGTACCTGGCTCACACTCTGCTCAGTAAGCGTGGGCCGTCATTAGTCACCGCTGCCCACCCTCCCAGAAACTGCAGAAGGACCTTCTCCTGGGACGGGCCTCAGGGGTGCAAATGGCTTAGCAGGTATAAAAAGCTATGTTGTTTCTAACTCCTTAGTCTCAAGCCTGGTATTAGAATGGGAGCCCACAGCTGAGTGAGTGGTCAGCAGGGAAGTCCAGGGATCTGGGAGAGACTTGTCCTGGGGTGGGTGGGAGGAAGGCAAAGGGACTGTTATCTTACCAAGCCTGTAAGGCACTGGGAGGGCATCACACCCTCTTACAGACAAGGAAACAGAGGCCCCACCAGGTCCAGGGAGTCTCCCAGACTCAGGGAGGACTCGAATCCACATATCATGCTTCGAAGGAGCCCTGGTAGCAGTTCGAAACCACCAGCCACCCCACAAGAGAAAGATGGGGTTTTCCACTCTGGCAAAGGACATGACAGCCTCAGAAAACCACAGGGGCAGTCTCCCCTGTCCTGTGGGGTAGAAACGATCAGGATGGGCTGGGTGACAGTGAGTGAGGATGCTCGGGGCAGTCTTACAGGCAGACAGATCTAGGTGACCAGACATGGATGCAGGGAAGGGAGGGGTCAGGAGCAGTGGGCCCCAGAAGGCATCCTGGCTGGTAGGACCCAGAGATGCAAGGAGGGCAGCTGGACTTCATTTGGTAAGCCTCTGAAACCAGGCTTGGCACTCTGCTTCTGAAAAATCAGCCATTGGATGCGTGATGGAGCACAGTCCTATTCTGGGGTGGCATGAGTCAGCCGACTTGGCTTGGCTTTTAGCCTCATTGCTGGGTATCTGAGGAACTCAGGCTCTGACAGGGGGCTGGGGAGCAGAGTAAACTCCTGGGAACACTATCAGGTCTGAGACCCCACTTAAGGAGATGAGACCAGGCGGCCCTCACACTGGAA